ATATCATCAAGGCTGAAAAATTGGTACTGCGATCAATTAAAGTATTTGAAATGCTTAGATGGGGAAAGGGCCCATATGAAAAAAAGGTTGACGGAATGCTAGCTTCAGAAGCCTTCAAAAACATAACATTAGTTCCAAATCAACGATTTGTTGCCCTTCCTCATGAAAATCTTTTGGCAAGCATCATTACCAATTTGAAGAAAAGGCTGATGAATTGCAAACATCTAAATTCAGGTAGCCAATTGCCAGATGCAAACAAATTACAATTTCTCACATATTTGGAGCCAGATTACTGGAACATTGAAGATGTAGTCGTTCCATGGGCAGAAGCAGAGGCAGGATTGACTGACTTTGGTGAAATTTTTAATTATCAAATTGATTTGAACGACTACAGAGATTTTCTGGAAAATGTGATCAAAGATTCAAACACCTACAATATTCCTGACAGTACCAAAAAAGCTAGAGATATTGTCAGGACAATTGCTATTAGTTCAGCAGAGGTGGAAAGGGGGTTCTCAAAAAATGAACCTCATATATTTAGAACAAAGAACCCGCCTAACTGTTCCAAACATTAGCAATCTAATGACAATAAGTGTTATTGGCATGCCTGTTAACAGATGGGACCCAATTCCTACAGTCAAAAAATGGCTCAGAGCTTACCATATCAAAATGATGATTCACGTGTGAAGACCAAGAAAAGTGCAGCTGAGGAGTCTGGAAGCCTAAGAAGAATTTGGAAACATCTTCAACCACAAAACCAATAACACAAGTAAATACTTGAGTATATATCTTTCATTATGTTATTCTTATGTACTTATGTAAGGTGTAAGTGCATACAATTAAAGTCTTTCTTTCTGTGTCTCTTCTTTGTGCAGGTCATTGGAGCAAGGTGGTGAGGTGGTGGTGTTGAAGACCAGCAAGGACAGTCATCTTCTTTCTGTAAGTAGCTCTTTTATTGTTTTGTGTGCTGGTTTCATCCTAATGCAGTGCATACAATTGAAGAGTTCATTTCTGTGTCTCTGCTTTGTGCAGGCCATTCATTGGAACAAGGTGGTCTGTGATATTGAAGACAGGCAAGAACAGTAATCTTCCTCCTGTAAGTAGCTCTTTTATCGTTTTGTGTACTTATTTTATTCTTATTTAAGTAGTAAGTGCATAAAATAATAAATTTCCTTTTTTATATTTTCTTTTTGTAGTTCATTCATTGGAGCAAACAATTCAGTGACATCAACTTGTCCACTCCCACCTGGTCACATGACTGCCAAGCCACTCCTACCCAGTCACATGACCGCTGAGCCACTCCCACAAAACAGACCACACACACAAAATAGGTAGTAAAAACTTTTGAAAACCACCAAGGCAATCAAACCGGTCAGTACTAAGAGGAGATCAACCCTGACTGCTCTTTAGAAGGCCAAATTCTGAAGATGAAACTCAAATGTTTTGGCCACCTAATAAGAAGGAAGGACTCACTGGAGAAGAACCTAATTCTGGGAAAGATTGAGAGCAAAAGAAGAAAGGGATGACAGAGAATGAGGTGACTGGATGGAGTCACCGAAGCAGTCGGCATGAACTTAAATGGACTCCAGAGGATGGTAATGGACAGGAAGGCCTGGAGGAATGTTGTTAATGGGATCGCGATGGGTCGGACATGACTTCACAACTGATAACACAGCTCTGTATTATTTTTTAAGCTGTTTCCTGATTGTGAATCTTTCCTGCCCATAAATATGTAGGAATTATTTTCCAGAAAGATTGGAATATATTTTCCCAATAACCATCTACTTTGATTCTTGTTACATTCCTTTTGTGTATATGAAATTAGGTTTTTGCATTTCATATTACTAATCTTATCACTAATTACTATAGTGAATTACCAATCCCCACTTCATGTTTTAAAAAGCTATCTTTCAAATTATTCTTTAATCATCCTCATTAGAAATGTAAACAAATCTAGCTAATTTTCTTTAGGTGATTTTTTGTCTCCTATCAAAAGGAGTAAAGGCTATTTAGTTATTGGGTAAATCAAGAACTAAACGATCTCCTTCTGATAGTCCTTTGCCCCTTGTGTATTAGGACTGCTTGGTTTTTTTACTTTTATATCTGCATGTTAACAATTAAATCCTGAATTGCATCGAAGTTCTAGATGAGATCTAAAATAGATTGAGGTATTCATAATGCAATAGTTTCTTATAATTACTGGGGTGTCCCCCCCACCCGCTTTTTACATAATTAGTGAAAGTTCTGGTCCATTTTTTGAACTTATTTTATTCTATAGCAAACACATGTTCAACTTGACAAGTATTCTTTTGCATGCGAGACCGAACATATGAATACACTAGGAAAATAAGACACAGTAATGCCACTGCTGTGAAGAAGAGTAACAGTCCAGCAAACAGAGAAGGATTCATAGGTAACCAAATCCTATTGCTTTCTGCTGGGATCATATTGGTGAGGCTAAGCATATAGCCCAGTGACCAGGCAATGCTGCTGTTATCAACCTAAAACACAAAAAACACATTGCTGCTGTTAAAATGTAATACCTTTGTTATTACAAAAAGCAAATGCTTCTATATCAGGCAAGTCTGACCCATAGCTAGTAATGTAGGCCCACAAAAATTGTTAACATTATTATGTGAGTTATATGCATTAACTATATATTTTATATACCGCCCAATATAATTCCTCTTCATTCAATATAAATCAGGCAAGCCAAAAGTATGCTGTAGATCTACATAAAGACACTTCATCATTGAATTCAACTCCTGGTGAATAAAAGGACATGTTGTTGTAATTTTTCTTTTTAATTTCAAAACAACACTGAAATAATATACTTATCATCTTTTTTTTTTGCTAAAAAATAGAAATTCTTTATAATTTCTCATCAAAGTATTAATCAGGCCCCACCCTTAGTTTCCAAGCCCAGACAAGCTGATCATCTGCTGAAGCAGTTGTGGGCCATTAAAATATTTTCACCCATCTTGCACAAGTGGTGCTATCTTTGCCAACTGGGTGCATACTTGAGGGAAATCTTTCTGGCAGCAAGATAACTCTCTGCTGCTTTAAAAAAAACAGTACATATATTTGAATACAAAAATTATATAAACTTTCAGCTCATGTATTCTTTTCCCTTTCTGTAGATTAAGGAATTATATAAGAATTCAGAACTCCACATATGTATATAAAACATATTAGGGAAACTATAATCAAAACTACTATTCTAATTTTGGATACTATGATAGTTTTATCACCTAGAAATAGCAGCGAGCAGGGGTAAAAATCTTGCAAATTACACATCCTAATATTAATGTCCAATTATTTGAGAAGATCTTTTTGTTTACAGTCTTTTTATTTTGTGGGATTTTTTTTTCTTCCAAAGATTAATTAAAACTTTTTGGTCCAGTTGGAAGGACAGCACATGCATTTTAAAAACAAATAACTCCTACAATACTGATCAGGAACATTTATACAGACAGTTACAAGACAAATATTTAACTTTTCCCAAAGCTAAACCTATGTCAAGAAAGACCCTCGTGTTGCAAATCTTATTAGCTTGGATCATTCATTGTGTTAAACTATTACTTATTTAACCAGAGTTTATTGAATTATGGTACCAAGTTTATTGGATTTACACAACATACTAAACCAAAGCCAAGCAAATCATAATATAGCTTAGCCTAATGTGTGCTTAAATGCTGTATAATGGTTGTCATGTAAAAAAATAAAAGTAAAATCAGAATGATCTTAGGATTGCTGCAAAGAAAAATTAGTGTGGCATTTCAATCTATTGCCTTTCCTTAATGTATTGCCTTAATGCAGGGGTCAGCAAACTTAAACACAAAGAGCCATATGGACCCTTCTCACAGAAAACACCAAGAGCCACAAAGGTCCTAACCAGAAGCCCCCTGTTCAATTCTGGAGCTGACTGGAAGTTCAGTTTCCCCATCATAGAGTCTCCTCCTAGCGCGGCGTACTTTTTCCTCTACCTGTCATAATCGAAAGCCCTATCAATTGTGGAGACAACTGGAAAACCTTCCCCTTGCCATAGAGACTTCTCCTGGTACACTGTGCTTCTCCCCCGCCCCTGGAAGCTCCTTTCAAAATTGTGGCGCCAACCAGTGACGGAGCTGCAGCAGAGGGAGGAAAGAGTCACATGTGGCTCCCGAGCCAAAGTTTACTGACCCCTGCTTTAATGTATTGCCTTTACTTAATGTATTATCTTTTCTTCTTCAGAGCTGAAGAAGCTTCTTGGATGAGAAGCAAAACATCTTCAAATAAAAACAAAGTCCGATTGCCTCTTGAAAAAGCATCTTTTGGACAACCATGATCTGGATGACTGAGAATCTCCACAGACATGCATGAAGCAAGATAAAAACATAAAGGACCTAAAGTGAATGTTTCTTTCTATAATCAGGAACATCTGAAAATATTTAACACATTAAATCTAAATGATAAATCTAGACTAGTTGTTTAAGTTTTGTCAAATAGTATAAATGAATAGTATGAACCCTCAAATCTACCACTTGGCACATTTTATCATTGGACTATAATAAGCCAATTTCTTTACTGAGGCAGCTTTAAGAAGTATGGAGAACTACTATAAAATGGCTCTAACTCAGAATCCCTTCCAGATCTTTTAATTCTTCAAGACCTGTGTTTTTCTCAATTAAATAATCTTAAAAGATTGTTAACTTACTTCTTTTTGAAAATGAATCTGAGGCCAGTTGTCAGCATTGAACTTATACCCACGTACAAGTAACTGATAGATATAGTTTGCTGAAAAGCAGTAAGATCTTGCATACGTTTCCTCAAATTTAGAGAGCATAAATGGCAACTGAAAAACAAAACTGACTATTGATAACAAAGTAAGGTTTATTTTTAAAAAAATATATTTCTTACTTTTCTGTTGTGATTACAATGGTTAAAATACTGTACCTAAGAAAATGATTTGCTGAAATCTCATGGAGAGATCTTTGGTGTACTATATTTTTCAGAGTATAAGACACACCGGAGTATAAGATGCAGCAAGATTTTCAAGAGGCAACTTAAAAAAAAGTTTTTGCATTCTGCAGACCTCCCAAAAATGGCCCGTTTTTCATAAAAATGGGCTTGGTTTTTTCCCTCCCAAAAAGGGCATGAATAACTTTTAGGAAGCTTGTAGAGTGCTCCTGGGGGCGAGGAGCAAAAACAAGCAAAAAACGGCCTCTTTTTTGCAAAAATGGGCCCGTTCTTTGTCAAAAAAAAGGGCATACATAGCCTTTAGGAGGCTTGTAGAATGCTCCTGGGGGCTGGGGGGGCAAACAGCCCATTTTTGCTCATTTCTGCCCTCCCCAGCCCCCAGGAGCACTCTGAAAGCCTCCTAAAGGCTCTGCATGGCCATTTTAATGGAGGGGGCGGGATTTCGGGAGGCAAAAAATGCTGTATTCAGTGTATAAGACGCACCCAGATTTTCAACCTCTTTTTTGAGGGAAAAAGGTGCATCTTATACTCTGAAAAATACAGTAATTAATTGCAAATTCAAGTATCTCAAGAGATACTAATACAATAGGCAAATAATATCATGTGTTGGGAAGTAACTGTTTCATGTAATTTTCAATATGTATTTTTCCAGAGAAAAGAAACTCTGATATACAGAGACTCCTCGATTTACAACCATTCATTTAGTGATCATTTGAAGTTACAACAGCACTTTAAAAAGTGACTTATGACAGAATGGTTACAGAAGCCCCATGAACATGTGATCAAAATTTGGATACTTGGCAACTAGTTCATATTTATGATGGCTGCAATGTCCTGAGATTATCTGACTACCTTTTGCAATCTCTGGCAAGCAAAAGTTGATGGGAAAGTCAGATTCACTTTACAACTGTTACTAACTAAACGATTTCAGTTATTCATTTAACTATGACAAGAAAGGTCATAAAATGGGGCAATATTCACTTAACAAGTTGTCTCACTTAGCAACAGAGATTTGGGGCTCAGTTCTGGTTCTAGTCTGGTTCAGGACTACCTATACTATCTAACCTTCAGTGTTTCAAATTATGTAAATCAAAAGGCACAATCTAAGAACAGTAAGCACATGTTTCCCTTGTTGATTTTAATGTGAAAATCCTGTCTTCCCACATGAATTTCATTATACTCAATGAGGTTTCTTTTTATGCAGTATTGCAGTCTTAAACATTTGTTCAACTTTGCCTGGATCACTCCCAGCAGTCTGACACTTGAGTAGTACCTCCTGTCATAGGGCTCTATTATTAATATATTTTCTGGAGTAGCTTTTTCTTTAAGCATTTGGATTTAGAAAGTTGATTCTGCGTAGGAATATGCAATATCTTTTGCTAGTACTTTTTTTCCAGAAGCTTGAGATTGACACAGACCTGATTCCAATCCTGTGAGCAGAAAGTCCACATGCTTGAATTGAACTCAGTCAGTGAAAATTGTCCAGTTAAATTCAGAGCATTTACCGTGTAGTAAAATCCAGAAAAGGCCTATAAATAAAGTCAGATTAGTGTTTGAAAAAAAAAATACTTGAAGATTTATTTTATCAGAGCAAAAAGGTATATTTGGCTTCTCATCCACTAGCAAATACTAAATATAAAAACTACAATACAATGAAATTAAAAACAATATTTATAATATTCATGCTCTGCCAAGTAAACAAACAATGCAGTAAGCAGCCAATAATCAGGACTTACCACGAAATTCCCTTTAATTTTTGGCTGGTAGATTCCATTGAATGAGCAGTCTTCTCTATCTTTACAAGATTTGAAATCAAATAACGTTGATACTGCCTCCCTGCAAAAGACTGGATCCCCAGTTCCTATGACATGTACAGACTCGCTTGGATTGTAATTCACTGGTTTTAGGAATTCTGAGCAAAGACTTCCATATAAATATTTCATTGTCAGAACAGTTCTATAATTCTGAGGATAGCATGGATTTTTTATCCTGGATTTATTGTCTGAATCCTAATAGTTTATCAAAACACATATAAAATAAAAAGACAAAGCCAAGAAGGATTCATTACAAGACATTTATAAACAAAGCATGTGCTTCAGTCTTACTTCAGCTTCATTTCAATTTCTTCAAGAAATTTCTCTCTATTTTTCTCTTTGTCTCTCTCTTATTTATTCATTTTTTATTTTTAATGGCCAGAGCATTCCTGGGAATAAGGAAGCCTAATGGTGTCAGAAGTTATACTTGCTAGAACATTGGATAGCATTTTGGGAATGCAGAGCTAATGTCATGCTGAAGCCCAGAGGCAACATAGCAAACCCCAATAGAGTCCAATTTTTATTTACTTACTCCCAGTGAACAACATCTTGCCAAATTAAAGCTCTAACCTTCTAAACTACTAAATATATTTTTGAGTGATTTCAAAGTGTGACTACCCTGAACCTCCCCCCCCCACTCTATCCAGTTCAGAACTGTGAAATCTCTTAATCCAGGCCACAGGAAAGCCATGTTGTCAAAACTGCTCTTCCAGGTACACATTCCATCACATCTAAGTCTTAATGAACATAATCCAGTCATACCTGCAGAATTGAAGCTAGCAGTTTTTTTTCTGCTTCATCTCTCCCATAACATTGGAAGCTGTAGGTATATACACTGTATTGGTAACCAAACAGCTGCACCTGTAGTGTGCTGTTGAAAGTTTGCATGCTTTCCTCAGGGATGAATGATATTTGAGTGGAAGCCCCTCCTAGATCCAGTGCACCTATAGTCTCAACTCCACGGGGATGGACCCAGGCACTCCAAAGGTTTTTCTAGATATAAAAAGACCAAATTGAAATATCATCTGATGTGGAATTCTGATCTTCTCTTTCTTAACATAGAGAATATTAGAAAATAATGCTCAAATTAAAATGGAAAAATATCTAATTGTAGGATTCTTTTAGATAGAATGTACTTTAAAGATTACAATTAAGGAACCCATTTTTCCTAGTTATAAAGAAACAAGGAACTATCTAATTAGAGAAAAACGTTCTAGCCTACTGAGAGATGCCATTAAGAAAGGAATAAGCAGGCTGAGTGGAGAGGCCAAAGAGCTGCCAAACATCTAAATAGAAATATAATTCTTTTGTTGATCAGGGTTTGTATAACCAGCTTCAATGAATGGTTTTTCTCAACTCAGATGCCTTTCCGATTTCTCATTGCTGAGATTCCTAGAAGCTGCAATTAGATGAAGTTCATAAGTGGATAAGCTGAAATAATATAAAATATTTGCTCTAAAAGTTTTGTTGATGTTATAGTAATATAAATTCTTTTCACATTTTGTTGCATTTTCAAGGCATTAAATTACACTGCTGACTTTTGCTCATTTTTTTATTTTGTTACTTTTTTATTATCTTGCATTTTGCTCTTATACCAACATATTAGGTTCTTCTATTATAAAAGGAAGATCTAAATTAAATAAAAATATAGTAATTATACTTGAAACCCTTATAATGTACTACATTATACTTAGCTTTGAATCTTTGAATTATGAACTTTCACAAATTTTTATTAATTTATATGATTTATATACAATAATATATATTATAATATATATTATTGTATATAAAAGGAAGATCTAAATTAAATAAAAATATAGTAATTATACTTGAAACCCTTATAATGTACTACATTATACTTAGCTTTGAATCTTTGAATTATGAACTTTCACAAATTTTTATTAATTTATATGATTTATATACAATAATATATATTATAATATATATAATACTAATATGATGTATATATTTATATAGAGAGTTGGGAATGACTAGCACATATGTGTGAGGGGAACCTTTACCTATGATTTATATAGATGCCTATCTCCCCAAAAGTTATTCTGAGTGGTGTACAACAAAGTTAAAAACAATAAATAAGTAAAACCACTGTTACTATTAATTACAATAAAAACAGCTATAATAAATGAATCAAATAAGAAATAGCAGGTAAATGATAAGCAAGCTGCCTTAAATTTTTACCTGTCCCTGGAGTTCTGAGACTTGCTGTCATAACCAGGTCTTAAGGGACTTTTAAAAACTCAACAGTGACAAAGAGATTTCACAATGTGGATGCCACTGTAGAAAAGGTGTACCATGTAGAGGCCTGCCAAATGTAGTTCCCTAATCAACGGCACCCATAATATGTCCTTTTTGCTAGATCTGGTGGAATGGGTAGGAGAGGTGGTCCATTCAGTAATAATAGACTTTGATAAATCATAAGTAATTTTCAAGGAGTTGCATTCACTTACCCTTGCAGTATTTTTAAATTTCTTTTTATTAGTGTTTGAGTGTTCCACTAGGGATAAGCTTAGTTATACTAGACACACACACACACACACACATACACACACACCAACAGAAAGATATTTGGATTTCTTAATTTTGATATGAATTATTTTTCTATAAAAAGCTTCAGTTTTAATGACAATAACTAAGTAGTATGCCAGAATTATTCAAATATATTAAAGGACAGTGAAGATTGAAAAAGTGTTTTTAATATTTTTCTTACTCATTTAGAGAGCTGATCTGACAAATATACTAGCAGCATCCTTGATAATTTCAATCTTTCTGCAAGTCTTGAATTTTTTTGTACATTGATATCACTAGTAAGAAGGTGGAATTTATTCATTTTTTATAAATTTATTTACAACATGAATAAAAATGTAGCTCTGAGTAGGGATTCATAAGTTTTGCATGAAATTTTGAAATAAAGCTGAAACATTGATACTTTTTCAAAAATAAATATACGCAATGGAGAGAGAGAGATGAATACTGTACAATATAATACAGTAATAGCTGTACTCAGCTTATGCACCTAAACAAAGTATACAATTCATTGTGAAATTTATAAATATTATTATTCTCAGCATAAAGAAAAAATCCACCGTAAAAATTTGACAGTTAAGTTGATAATAAAAGGGAAATAAAAGCTAGCCACAAAAATAGTGTTTGCTTTACTATTTCACTTTATCATCTCTTCTCAATTTGATTTTTTAGCATTAAGCAGTGAGGATGAATAGTGGTTATCAATCAACTCTAAAGGCACTCCCCTTGCCTTTAGAGCAGATAAACATGGGACAATAGTGAGACCACAGACTGAGGAGGAGGTTCTGCAAATGTGATCAGAACATGCAAAACAATTTTTATTGGATTCTTCTTGAATTACTTTATAGATTAAATGATCCATGACATTTTCAAAAGGGGTTTCATTTCTTATTATTTGGCCAGATTTTTTATGAATATGTATTTGTAAACAATAACAAATACCTTAAATATACAAGGTGTTTATATTTGGCACACAGAAAATTAATACTAAACAAAATAAGATTAAAAATTGAAATTTGGCTGGCAAGCTTTTCCTAATATTACTGCTAAATTTAAATTTACAGCAGTTTGTTTGGTGATTGGTGGAAGTTACAATGGCACTGCAAAAAAGTAACATGACAGTTTTTCATAAATACGATCATTGCAGCATCTCCATGGTCATGTGATCAAAATTCAAATGCTGGGAACTGGTTCATATTTATGACAGCTGCATTGTCCCAGGGTGTTTTGCAACTTCTGACAAGAAGAGTCAATGGGAAAGCCAGATTCACTTAATAACTATGTTACTAACTTAACAACTTCAGTGATTCACTTAACAACTGTGGCAAGAAAGGTTGTAAAATTGGGCAAAACTCACCTGTCTCACTTAGCAACAGAAATTTTGTGCTCAATTGTGGTTGTAAGTCAAGGACTACTGTATACATTATACTATTATATTTAGGAAACTGCCCTGTTGCCTTGCATAAAATGTGGGAAGCCTATGCTAACCACAGCACATATCATTTTAGATATGCAAGAAACAATAGAATATAATAAACATGCAGAATATTCCACACACCTCCAAGAAATTGCCTTTTAAATAGTTGGCTGTAATCCATCCATATACCCCTTCCTCTTGGCCAGTTATGATCTGAGCATCCCTAAATTCAAAGGGCTGTGATATGAAATAAGTCTGAATGCTCTGAAGGACTTCACTGGCTGCTGATTCATTTTGCAACCTAAGTAATTCAGAGAAGATAAAATGCTGAGTGTCTGAAAGGAGATGCTGTTTATGATCATAATTTACTAAATTGATTAACACAGAAAGTTGATGATTTTTTTAAAAAAATTAAAATTCTTATTTTTTTAAAAAAAATTAAAATATTTTAAAATTTGTAATTTTAAAAAATTTGGAATTAAAAAGAAACCATCAAAGGCTGATTCAGATATGCATACAGAACATATCTGATTATTTTAATGTTTCAAATAAACGAATAAACTCTTTTGAAAATATTGTGTTTGAAAAGGTAACCAGGTTGTATCTTAATAATTAATTTGTACTGGTTCATTCAAACATCATTACAATGGATAAGTTATGAATATACATGTCTGAACAAGCCCCAAGATACATGCAGCTACATTAAAGCTGCATGTTTAGCCTTATTTCATTAGAAAGATCAACGAGGCTTTCCCACAGGTGTAATTATCAATACCTGCTTATTTAAATGGAATGCAAATTATATATGAGTAGACAACTATGTAATTGCTTTGTAAATTTGTTGCAAAAATGCACGTCCTGCTTTCTAAATAATAGGCAGAATATACACTGCATTGAAATGCTTATCCATTAGCAAGATTGAATAGTTATCATGAATCCACAAGAGAAAATGCTATGGATCCTCATTATGCATATTTGTATCATATCAGTTGGATATCAGTTGGATATTATAGTAGACATTGAGCATAATTATGTGCAACTATATAAAAAACATTTAATAAGCCAGAATTTCAATATGTCACTATTTTCTTTTCTTTTTTTTTAGGACAAAAATTTTTTATTTCAATCATGGATACTCAAAAGATTATTACTTGTATTGCATAATCTGCAAAAATCTATATGTAAATGATTTTAAAGAAATAAAACAGACATATGCAAAATAACAATGAAGCAATACAAATGAAAACATCAAGGTCTCTATTAACCGAGATTTATTTAGAAAAACTAATCCTGTTGTGAAATACCCAGGAATTTCAGACCTAGGATTGATTTTTTTAAAGCCATTAAAAATCTGTTTAATATCTGCAACAATTTCATTCCCAACAATCTATCTAGGAACGATCACAATCTCTGTTGGGTGTATTGAGTCAGCTAATTTATCTATTAATCTCATATAGTAATGGGAATTAGATAAGGAGAAAGTGTTCTTGTGAAATGTTATTATACTCTGCTGCAGTCTGTACTGAAACAATGAATAAAGAATTGTGTGTAGCAGTCCTAGTTAAAAGAGGCATATCAGAATATGATGCAGTTTTCCTATTATACCTCAGAAGTCTCATGCCAGCTGTGGCTCCCAAGTAGACAGGTGTGCTTTTGTGCAAATGAAAAGGAATTTTCTCCTTTACTTTATTCATACAATCGTTGATGGGCATAGCAATTTCTTGAGGGTTACTGCCATAGCTGGATATTCCAGGTCCTAGAAAAAAATAATTAAAACATTTAGCTTGTTCTGCCAAGATCAGCGCAATATATCTGCTTCTTCCATTGATTTTGCTTCTTCCATTCAGATTTTGTAGCCTATATATAGTAGCCATATGATCTGTGTATCTTGTATTTATTTTTATTTGCCAATAACAATGCATTAGAATTTTTAATATTTTAAAATGTATTTTAGTTATATTTAAAAACAGAATAAAAAAGAAATCAGGAATCAAGAATGCAAACAAACAAAACAAATAAAATAGAAGAGGTTTACAAGCTCTTCTATACATTCCTCACTAATCAGTTAAAACTGAAAAAACGTCTTGGATGAGAAGCAAAATGTTTAAAAAAGAAAGCAAGAAAGTCCAGTTGCTTTTTGGAAAAAAACACTTTTAGGACAACCATGACCTGGATGATTGAGAATCTTCATAAACAAGTATGACAAAGCTGAAATTTAAAAAAAACAAACTAAAATAGTTTTATATAATAGTATTCTGTTTGTTTTATATAGTGTTGCTTCCAATTCTGTTGATTTCTATATAATATTAGTTCAAACTCTGCCAGATATGTAATCTTTTAGTTTGCACAGTATTCTTGTAAATTTTTGTTTCATTGCTTGGTTTGTGGACTACTATGACTAATGTTTGGACAAGATGAATATATTATGGAGGTAATTAAATTTTGATGGTGGGGGGCCTTTGGTGAGGGCACCATGTTTTAATTTTGTTGATGTGTGTTCCTGTGCAGTAGTTTTGTGTGCTGTGAGATAATTGCTGTAAAAAATTCTTAAAAACATCAGAACATTACAAAGCAGGTTACACATTTGACTGAGAGTATATGAATATAATAGATCACATAAACAGAAGAAGATCCAATAGATACTTGTAACTCAAATAAAATAAACCAGCCATCAACAGATCTGTAAATACGGGTAAGATATATTACCCACCAGTCACCTGATCAGCAAATATTTGAGGCAGAAGTACAGATAGCACCTTTCCTGGCAATCAGTTAATTGACACCTTTCACTAAACAACCCTCTGAGTTTACTTTGCATCATATATAGATTATAAATACTATAAGCTAATCACCACTTTTAAATTACTGTAATAATGAAGTCAAAAATTCAACTGAAAACCATGTGAATACCTTAATGTTCGTCTGATGAAGTACAGAAAACTAAGCTATTAGTACTGTATGTATTAGCTTGTTTGCTTATATAACTATTAATGTTTGCCCTGGCAAGGTAATTGAACTTTTAAATAAAACTCTTCTAAATTATCTTTGAGATTTGCAAGGAAGGCAGATTAGAAATATTTTTCCACAATATACTTTCCTTTATTTCAAACTGTCCAGGTTAAAAAATACGCAGAATGTCTTTTTTGGATTTATTCTCGGAGTTCAAACACTATATGTTTGAACAGAGTATGATAAGAATGCCTTTAATCTGCTAAAATTGATTGATTCTTGCTATGCCTCACTTTACTCTTTACTCTGAGCATATCCAAAGATACGTGTGGTGGAGGAAGAGAGCACCTAGAAAGATTGATGATCCATTCTAAAAGAGGAATATTCCAATATGTGGCCCTGTACTTTAAAAGAATCCTGATCATGTAAAATAGTCAGACTGAGAATATGCTTGAGTGCTGAGAACTGTGACGTGTCGGTTCTTTTATTAGTCATAAAAGCAAAAACTAGTAATTTTCAGATAGGATTCAGTTTGGAGACTGCTTTTCCTATATATTTACAGTTTTTATAGTAAAATTAGTTTGGAAAGAATATCAAATGCTCCCATGGATATTTCAATTCCTAATTGTCTGCATGAGCAGAGAGGTTTATGAGTTTGTATCCATCAATGAAGCATTCATTTAACATACAAATCTGATTAGAGAATACATACCATCTCAAATAAAAAACACCTTTGCATGGAGAATTCAAAAGCAACAGATCAAACAGCATTTAAAGGCTGGTTAATTTGGAAATTACTTTGTCCAAAACATGAAAGGTTAGTGATGAAATCTGGTTAACCCTGATCAGGTCAGGCTACATATTCTACCTATGAAACTCAATGACTATGCAGGTAATCTCTTTATCAGACTGACTCCTCTTACTTAAGATATAGAGAAGATAAGAAAGAAGAATGATAAAGATCCATAGAACTCATGTGAAATAAAAGCATACATATTTCTTCTATTAATGTAATAGTTCCATCAAGACAGTTCAATCCTTGTGATTTTTTTTACTCCATGCAATTATTTCAATATTTCTTTCTCACCTTTCACATTACACTTGAAGGTTTGACTTACTACTCCAGTATTATTTTCTTTTTCTGCTGGCCATTCATATACATAGACTGTTGTCCGAGATGAACCAGCATCAAGCACTATTCCATACTGAGGAGGTCAGAGAGAAAAGAGAGATTATAATCCCAAAAAGTAGCCACCTAGTTCTAATAGAAGCTTAATATTTTATATTTATATTATTTAACTTAGATGGTATTTGTATGGGCCTAATGCAAGGGAGGAAGAGAGAGAGAGACAGAGAGGGAGGGAGGGAGAGAGGGAGAGACAGACTCACTCTACAGCAGGGATGTCATACTGGATTTCTTTGAGGGCCAGATCAGTATTGTAGTTAATCCTCCATGGGCCCGGCAGGGGAAGATGGGACAGATGCCTCCTGCAGCACTTTGCCAGTTAAAACGGGACATGGGTGGCTGTGCGCACCCCGCTTTGGTCAGCAGAGTGCTGCAGCAGGCCGTCCAGGTCTTGCTATTTCCAAGCCAGCCCTGCAGGCCCATTTTAACACCCGTTGGGCCAGATTTGGCCCACAGGCCTTGAGTTTGACACCCCTGCTCTACAGCAACAGGAACTCTTTTTCTTTCTCATTACATGACCTTATCCTCTGACTCTTCCAAGACCCCATGCCATATCCATCCCTTAATACTAGTAATATTACTTAAATGCTGTTTTGATCCATTCTCAGAGCCTTTCCCAATAAAGTGCCTTCTGGATGTGTTGTACTTCATTCCCATAAATCTGTAGCCACCATGGCACGCCTCTATATTAGCAATAGCAATAGCAGTTAGACTTATATACCGCTTCATAGGGCTTTCAGCCCTCTCTAAGCGGTTTACAGAGTCAGCATATTGCCCCCAACAACAATCCGGGTCCTCATATATTGAAACCCAATGCATCTTAAGAGCACCATGTTGGAGAAAGTATCTTTCGCAACTGTGAGAGGAGATAAAGAGGCAGGCAACCCAGGCCATGCAAATTATCAACACATGATATGAAGGCTTGGGTGATTCTATCCACATCACACATGATACTAATGTCATTACTGCTACACTTTAACCTTTGTTCAAATGAGCACTGAGCAAGTTCTGAGGGTAGACATTGTAATGCCAACAGTTCCTACTCACAGTTATTCATACCATAGTCACCTCTCGTCTTGACTATTGCAACACACTCTACATGGGCTGCCTCTGAAAAGCATCCAGAAGCTCCAGTTGATGCAAAATGCAGCGGCCCGCATGGTTTTGTGCAGACCTCAGTGTGCACACATATTGACTCTTCTGTGGAAACTGCATTGCTTGCCAATTTGCTTCTGGGTGCAATTCAAGGTGCTGGTTGTCACCTTATAGTCCTTCATGGCTTGATTATCTGAGGGACCATCTTTTGCTGATCATATCTACCTGACCCACTAGAGCAGGAAGGCAAGGAATATTGTGGGACCTGTCCTCTAATGAGATACATCTGATGGGACCCAAAAGAAGGGCCATCTCCATGGTGATTCCCTCTGTCATCCTCCCAGAGATTAGACTGGTCCCCTCTCTAACACTTTTTTTGGAAGGCCTTGAATTTGTAGTTCTACAGTGGGCCTGGGGAACACAGAGTGGGATGGAGCCCATTACATAGCTAGTATGAATGTGTGTTGTCACCAGGATTTTTTTTTGGGGGGGGGGGTAGGAGTTATTATTCCATTATTTTACTTTTTATTATTTTTATTTCTTTTATATGGTTTTTATAATCTTGTAAGCCACCTTGAGTCACCATGGGCAAGTCAGCAGCAATATAAAATTTCTAAATAAATAAATAATACATAAATGCCACTATCAGGTTAATATCTGAATATGGAATGTTTGGATCAGCCTGCCTTTGTCTTTAGGCAGCAAAATAATTAAAATCAGGGCTTGACTGTCATATATATATTAATATATATATTCCTCCATGTCAAAAACTTGCTATGCAACAGCAGGTACAATTGTTCAAGAGAAACAAATGCAATGTCTCTTTGAATTCACAAAGTGAGATCCATTTTTCTTTCACTGTGGATACAGTATACATCTGACTTTAGAGGATTTACAATGTTCTCTAAAGCTCCATCTTGTAATCCAGGGTAAATATACACAGTGGAACTCTCATGCTCAGATACCTGTGACTCACACACAAACAATAAAGGTGATCCATTTGTGACCAAGTGAACAAAAACTATTATTATGCAGTAATAATATTGTACATTGAATTCAGAGACCCCCAGACCAGTATATTTAACAATAATTAAAATGCATCCTTTCACAAGGAACTGAATAGCTTCAGATTTTTAATAGAAATTGTCCAGAAATATTCTCAACACCAACTTCACATATTACATAATTATTAATTTAATTACCAAAGTACAAGGTTAACTCTTCTTGATTGGCATTTTATGTTAAAATGTTTTTATATTGTTGACAGCTTCCTTTTAATTGGTCAGCTAAAACCTACCATGCACTGCATCTTTTTCCTTATCTAAGCAAATTACCCTCAGGTTTTCTATCCTTGTCCTTTAGCAAACAAAGTTCTGGCTAATTATATCTGTTGAAGTGCAGCACATCTGGAGAACATCTAGAAAAAAGAAAACATCCAGGCTTAAATCTGCACAGTGCCACTTAGGTTCTGGTCTAAGTGTGGAAACTAGCTGTAGTTTCTCCCTGGGCTGAGCATTTTCAGGTAATTCGTTTTCAATATTATGTCATTGCCTCAGCATTTAATATCTCTGTTAAATATCAGATGTTACAAAAGTCCTAGCTTATTATTTAAGCCTACCTTTAGACCTGGAGAAAGGATCTGTTTCCGATTCATCTGAACAAGTGTAATAGTAACAATAATTGCAATGCTTAAAAGCAGAAAGATTAAGGTGACAGTGGTTGGCATTTTGTACTACACTTGGAAACCTAAAAATAAGGAGAAGAAAAATGACATTATTAATTTTTGAAGGAAACAGTTTCTTAAAATGAACTTTAACACCTGAGGTCCAAGTTCATTAGCATGAGATGAGGAAGGTGACGTCTACTGGACTGAATACAGGCCTTGAATGGTTTTGTTGTTTAAACAATTTTTATTTGTTTTTGAACAAAGACAAACATAAAAAAAACCATATTCCATTACAAATTGTAGAAAGCGTGTCAGTTGGTTACATTATTTCCATGCATCTCTTCCATAGTCACCACCTGCTTTTCATATCAAATTGCTTATTTTAAATTCACCTATATTCATGTATATCACAATTATTATATCTCAACCTTAATTTGACTATAATTGTTTTTACATCCTTTTATATATAATATTCAAAATCTAGAATAGGATTATAGGATTAATGGATAACATTCCATTAAATCATCCTAAAATCATCCAATTACAATACATCTTTATAACATATTCTAGAATCTAGATAAAGCTTTTAAATATCCTCTCATAATCTCCATGTGTTGTTTATATAAAATTTTATAT